ATAAACTCAGATCTTTGTAATAAATCTTACTCTGCATTTGCCTCAGGTTTTGAATGTGGGGAAAATTCCCATTATGAAGGAATTTAAAATGAGAAAGATGGTAATTTAAATGCACAAATAATGCTTTAATACTAAGATTAAAATGAAAATTTGAAATAAGAATTTACTAAAGATTGAATTGGAGTTGAATAAGAAACAAGCTTGTAGTAGGGACATTACAAGCCAAGTGAAAAGTCATCTTAAACTACACTTTAAAGAAGAGACCTTTTTACTTGTTATTCAGGACTATAGAAGTGCCAAACAGGTTAGTTGGTTTACGTTGATTTTGCTGATTTTTCTCTTGGTAATTTATTAGAATTTATGTTCTTGGATAAGAAGTTTCTGATTCATCAATAAATCATTGTGGAAACAACCAACCGTCCTACCTCCTGACCATAAAAGGAGACCTTTTGGATAGAATGTGACCAGAAAATTACAGTCTGGTCCAGTCCGAACCAAAGTGATACTGCTCCAGTCTTCAGTTGGGAACTTTCTTCAAGTTTGGCTTCGGTTTGGTCTGGACTGGTCCAGTTTCAGTCCGATCCAATCCAGTTCCACACTGTTGCTTGCATCCTGGTATGTTTAGTGTTAAGATGAACCCAATTAGTCAAAATTTTGGTAGTTTACGTTAGGAAACCTCTTCCTGCAGTTGCTATATTAAGTTGTGGTTCTAAGCAGGTGTCTTCAATGGTGGAATCTACTGTGAAACTTGGACATATGAAACATAAGGGATCATGTTTCAGTACATTATGCAAGTATTTAGTGTTAGAAATTTGTTGCAGACCATTCTTGTGTTTTCTTTTCTTGTTTCTATGTATCTGTTTTCCCTTGTAATTGATCGAAAACTGAATTTTCTGATCAACAATCCTTACTCGTTACTCCATTACAGTCACACTCTCATGTTCCAAAATTTGGCCAGTGGGACAAGGATGATATACCTTATACAGCCTTCTTCGAGAATGCACGTAGGGAAAAGTCTGGAATGAAGATGAACCCAAATGATCCTGAGGAGAACCCGGAGGCATTTATGCTTGCAATGGGAGGCCGTGAAAGCAATAGTAATTTCCGTCAAGCTCAGTCCCCTCTCCATGTTAACTCTAACATGTCAGTTTCAGCAGGAAAACACCATGCTGAAAGAAAATCAAGGCACAGCCCTTCTACAGAAAATGCTTCTCGTAACCAAGATGCCTGGAGCCATAGGAGGATAAGATCAGAATCTCTTGTCAATAGAAGCAATTTCGATTATTCACAGCAGAAACCAGGTATGAGACAGGCAAAATCTGAATACAATAAGGATGTCAATAATGGAAGGTATGCTTTTTCTGGGACAGGACACCCAAGGCACAAAAGTACTGGAAGTTCTATTCCAGATGACAATAAGGTAACTTCCCTTTCCTTTCATCAGCAAAGGCTAATTCAATCTGTGGTTTAAAGAAAGTAGTAGATTTAGGAATTTAATGAGAATTAAACCAAACACAACCATATCTCTCATGTTTTTTTCTTTATTTCTTTTCTTTATTGGACTTTCAAATGAGATGTGGCAGCATAACATATCGCAATCAGTTCCAAAGTTCGGGGATTGGGACGAAAGAGACCCTAAATCTGGTGAAAGATTCACTGCTATTTTCAACAAAGTGAAAGAAGAGAGGCAAGTTGGATCTTCTAACTTAGCTCCTGTTGCCCAACGACCGAGCAATTATCCTGATAGTCAGGCTGCCAAGCATGAAGGTGTAAAGGTAAGCATTAACTAAACAAAACTACTTATTTAGGTACCCAAAGAAATTTGGTTTCGCGTATTTTCTAGCCAAACCAGCTATAAGTTACTTCGACCAGAAAATGAGTTATGGCAGTTCTTTTCAGAATCAATGACTTCTAAACTAAATAATAAGTTCTAAAGATTTACTTTTCTCTGTTGGCTTATAAGCCATGTTCAAAAAGTTAATTCTGTTTTTTTTTTTTTTATATTTTTACCAACAGATCCTATCTTATCAAATTCTTGCTTGTGTCTCTTTCTTGTTCATTTTGTTAAAACTTCTGTGCTTATAGACATTATCTTACTAAAAGTTTATTTATTTAAAGCTTATAAAAAAAAAACGTATAGAAGTACACTGTAATGAACATATTTTTCTTTCTTTTTCTTTTTCTAAGAATTTGTAAATCAGAAGTAAATAAGTTAAATCAAACAACTCGTGCTATATTGGTCAACTTAACCTGGCATTAGGTTTTCAATTCGAGTGTAGACTAAGTTTGAGTCTCTTTCTCTCGAACATCATTTCTCTCTGGTGGTTCTTTACTATCTACCCTGTAAGTGAATGAACTTCATATCACAGATTCATTTCATTAATTACGAGAGGCATTTACTTCTCATTGAAGAAAAAGTGACAAAAAAAACTATAGCTTTTGGTTTCCAAATTTATATGTATTTCATTTTAAAAAATTATATAAGTTAGTTAACAATGAAGAAAATGTGTATATATTTTACTGTTTTCTTTGTTATATACTTATTTCACGATACTGATGTAGGTCTGTTGCTGTCTCTTTTCGAGAAAGTGATCAACACCCGATAACACCCCGACCCCGAGGACCTTAGATTGTTTTCTTTATATATATTGTCTAAGAACCTACACTGTACACTTCTACTCTCTGAAGTTGTAGTTATGGTTTGTATTGGTTTCCTTTCCTTGTTTAAAGGCAAGAATAACTTTAAACAGAGGCATCTGAGGTTGATAGCGATTTTTTCTTCAATGGTGGATTTTATATTATGAAAGAGTATTCTTACAGTCTAAGAGGCATAATGCCTCGCCCCCCAAAAAAACAGAAATTTCTTGTTAAGATATATTTTTATTGTATGTATTTTCAATTATTTTTCAATTAATATTTAGTTGTGAAAAGATACATTATTAATAATAAATTAAATATTTTTTATCAGCATAAGATTTTGAGTTGCGTCAAGTTCAATTTATTATTTAACATTGTATCGAAGTTTGAGATTTTAGTTTTGATTCTCTAATATATTGACGTCTAATTTTATTCATGCATCTGGGATAAGTGTACGATATTTTTTTTTTGAACTTTTGAAATGATCAATTTATTTTGTTTTTAGATTAATCTATCGTATGCTCATGTATTTATCGGATAGACGGAGGTATATTGACAAATGTGTACGCAAACATTATTTTGACAATGTAACTTTTTCCATGCACAAAATTAAATCTACACAATTACATTGTGACAAGCGACTTATGTATAATAATAAGTACTTGTGTTTAATTTTATTTGCTAAAATTTAAGATATCAGAGATTTTAAATTATGATAATGTTATAATTTAGGTTGGAATTATTTTAAAAACCCATGAACTTTTCTCGTGTTGCCAACAATATATTGTCATCTAATTCATATTATAACATTCAAGATGGTTGATGTAGTTATACTTTTAGTAGCGCATTAGACTAAAGATAATTAGGTTCAATTTAATCTTCAAATTTGTAATCAAATTAAATTTTTTTTGGCTAATTTTTTTTCAAATGTAAATGTACATAAATTTTTATGAATTTTATAATTAAGTGAATAAAACAAAATTACTAAAAATAAAGATTTAAAAATAGTCAATAAATACGTTTATAAAAAATATTTACTTAAATATTTAAAAATATTTATAATAAGATTAAGTTTAAATAGGTTAGAGCCAATAACACAAGTTCATTCCTTTATAACGGTTCAGAAAGTAAAATACCTCAATAAAAAAGAAGATATATTTGAAAATAAATAAATGAAAGAAAAATACGCATTTGAATTCTGAAAAACGATCGGAGTAGGAACCAACATAAAGTTAGCATGTTTATATATAATAAGATTGAGAGAGGTACCGACCAACATAATAATCTCCGTTTTCTGTAAGAGAAACATTGAAGCTGTTCGTTCTGGTTCGCTTCGATTCAATTCAATTCGATCACTGCAAATCTTCTTTCATCTTCTCCCGATTATAATTACAATTACTCTTAATTTGTATTCTTTAGTTCTTGGTTTTGTTTTTCTTTTTAGTTTCTTGTTTTTGATTGTGAAGAGTTGTAGTTGTTAAACAAATGGTAGTAGGACGAGTTGATGTTTTGATTCACCGATTGAGTTTACAATATCTGAAATTCTAGAGTTTAACTTTGGAATATCAAGAAAGAGAAAGAAACTTAAAGAAAATTGTGAAGTTATTATTTATGTTGTTTTTTCGGGATTTGGAGATACGTGTTCTTTGGTTCTAGTTTTGGTTTTCTTTTCAGCTTCTTGTTTTTGATTGTGAAGAGTTGTGGTTGCTAAACAAATGGCGATAGGGTGAGTTGATGTTTTGATTCCCAGATTGAGTTTGTAATATATGAGATTTTAGAATTTGACTTTGGAATATCAAAAAGGAGAAAGAAACTTAAATAAAGTTATGAAGTCATTATTTCTATTGTTTTTCGGAGTTGGAGATCTGTTTTCTTTGGTTGTTTGTTTTTGTTTTCCTTTTCAGTTTCTTATTTTTGATCATGAAGATTTGTGGTTGTTAAACAAATGCCGACGGGACAAGTTGATGTTTTGATTCACTTATTGAGTTTGTAATATTTGAGATTTTAAGGTTTGACTTTTGGATATCAAGGAGAAAGAAATTTAAAGAAAGTTGTTCGACTCATTATTTCTCTTATTATTATTATTTTTTTTAAATTTGGAGATATGTGTTCTTTAGTATTTATTTTTGTTTTTCTTTTTAGTTTCTTATTTTTGATTGTGAGGAGTTGTGGGTGTTAAACAAATGGTGGCAGGGTGACTCTTCTGTGAACATATTTATTTCTTTAGGTGCCACTTTGTCTCACCGAGACTTGACGGTGATGTGGTGGATATTGTCTTCGACAAGGGTCGTACCGAATCTCCAGTCTTCGAGAATCGAGTGCTTCAATCAATTAAGCCTCATGACCTTGAGTCATGGGCACTTGTGTTCTCTCTGTTGACATCAGGAGGATAGTGTAGTTGATAAATTTGAAGATAAGATGGAGGAAGGTGGGCATCAGAGATTAATTCTCCAAAGGAGATACCTTTTTTTTATAGGAAGCAGGTCAGGGGAGTCCCACTCCTAAATGAGGAGGTTGTGAAGGAGGACTCTGAAGGACATACGGGCAGATCATCTGGATGTTGTCATAGAAATACTTCTGCAGGAGATGAATACTCAGAGTCTGAGAGTGAGAATCTTATGGATATCAATGGTGAACAGGGGGAGAATACTTAACATT